GGTAAGCACATGATGGTCGGAACTTGCGACGGAGGTGAAACTGGGAAAGGTGCTATTTTTACGCAGGGAACGTATAACTTCGAATTTATGCGTGCTTTATGCCAATGCGTGTGGCGCAGGCTCGCTACTCTAGAAACGGTAGCGGTAGTCCACCGATTGGGACGGACAGTTTGTAACTGCTGGTTCGAAGTGCCCTTCCCTCGTCCGAGTCCGAGCGGCAATGATACTAGTCTGCTCGCGGTTGTTACATTCCAAGAAGTATGTTGATTCTGGTATTCGAGTAGTAAGTACTGTAGTAGTACTAGTGCTCATTTTCTACTGCATCGAGCGGTGGCCATGGGTACAGTGAGCTGTGGCAACGTGGAGATATAAACGAAGGTAAGTAGTACGTACGATAAATAAGTTATAAATATCAATAGTGTGTGGGCTATGAAACCCCAGGGGAAAGTAGATGTGTGATAAAGAACGGCGGCCAGACGGGTTTGCAACGCGCAGCTGCGGAGCATTCCTAGGGAACAGCGTGTCAGCAGCTTCTCCACTGAAACGTTAACCCAACCGTCAGGAACTTACGTTGCTATTAAGCAAGGAGGTTATCCTGACCCAGCGCGTTTTGGGTGTAACGCGCGTTGAACTTGATGATGGACTTGATCCTCTTGTAGGTAGCGACGTTGATGGGGAGAGGCTCAGTCATGATGACGAACTGCACGCCCTCCTTGCAGGGGGGAGTAGTGAGGGACCCGGAGTAGGTGTAGAAGGAGCCGGAGCTGATGATCGACTCCAGCTCGTCGAAGTCGAGGGAGCCGGTCTCGGTGGCCGTGCCGGGGATCGCGATGGTCTCGATGTCTTCCACCGTGGCGGTGAGGAGGTCGAACGACGAGCCGTCGAGCGTGAGGTCGAACATAAGGGCAATGACCATCAAGCCCTCATCTGCGAGGAGTAAGTGGTCAGTGACAGGCCGATGGCTGGAAAGGTTGCTTGTTGCACGTACCCGCAGCCTGATGAACCATGTGAAGCTCGAGTGGGTAGTACTCCTCGGCGATGCGATGCTCGCTGGGAGTATGGAAGTGGTACTGCTTGAGATCGTAGGTCTTCCCACCAAAAGTCGTGGTTCCGCCGACGGTGACCTCCAGCGTGCTACCGAGGTTGGCGAACTCAGCATCCGCGACGTTCGGGAAGTTCACGACAGGTGGAGTTCCACTCAGGGAGATGGTGTTGTCGATATTGATAGGCGACTGGTTCTTGCCCGTGCTGCACAGCGCGTAGTCGGGGCTGATGGAGGCCCATTTAAGGGGACCATCAGTGCCCGTGAAACCAAAGTTGGCGACCTGAACGTTGCTGGAACGGCGGTGGAAGGTGGTCCCGTGGATACAGCTGGCCGAGACGGTGGCCACGAGGGGCAAGAGAAGGGAGAGCGCGCGGGTGAACTGCATGACGGGAGAGAGGATTATGAAATTAGTGTGAGTAGGGAGGACGGATAGGAAGAGGAAGACCGGAACCGCTGAGGGGTAGAGTGGCAAGGGATGCTGCTTTCTCTTGAAAAGTGCCGAGCTTTATACGGTTCAAAATCACAGATGCAAAAATGGCTCAGCAAGTCAGCCAAAAATTAAAGGGGTGAGTGACCGTAGCGCTAGCATTGAGGCCAATATCAACTAAACGAGATCGTACGGCGATTGAAGAGGAGGAACATGAAAGTAAAGAATATAGTTGCATGCAATACACACTCCGGTAGAAAAATTATCTAGATGCTTCGTAATTCTATCCAGTAAAGATTACAACACTAGAAATGTTGTATTCTATGCTGCCGCTTTCTTACTTTCAATGTATCATGGTGTAGGACCTCCTAAACGAAGGAACAATACAGTTTCTGAATAGTGTGCAGACAAAGGGAATACAACACATCCAATGTGAGAATCTTTAGTGGATAGAATTACGAAGATCCAAAATTATTTTTTTCACCGGAGTGACACTGGCTGGCCATCACCGCGCTCCCATAGCGAACGATGATTGGCTTGTGATCACAATCAGCGGCGCAAGACTAGCGCAGTCGGCCAGTCGAACATGAGAACCTCGGAGAAGTAGCCAATAAGAACTAAACAAGCCCATCCGGCGTGTGAAGATTGTCGAGGATGAGTGAACTTGAGACAAGAACTCGACATCGCTTCGTTCTGTGACGGGCGTTGAAACGTTGATTGGCCTGCTACTATATTTAGCAACAGGTTTTGATCTGCTCGAGTCTGACCCGATATCGTATCAACGGGAGCATGTGCGTTTCTCCCGCTCTCCACGATGGTTCAGCGCGTAAGAGGGCGAGGGAAGTCGATTCCCATGCTTTGCGATGAAGGTAAGTACAAATCATAGAAAATTACTCTGAATGTCCCAACATGACTCCGGGCTCAGGAACCAGGGGCGCGGCTGAGGCTCACTATCATCCTTCGTGTGGGAGGGATATGACGGCGTTGACGTGCACGTATTGATAATGAAATTGTGAACAGGTATGTGCGGCTCGGGCGAGAAGTTACGCGGGGCGCAGTTCAGAAATGTATGATAATTGGTTGCTTGAAGGGCCAATAGTAGTTGTGCTTGGCTTCCGGTTGCTATCAGCGCTTGAAAACAACGAATCGGGTTACGAGTGCTACTCGGAGCCAGCAGAGCCAATCACAAGCAGACCGTCAGTGCGTTAGCTACTAAGTACTTTGCTGTACCCAATCAAGGGACGAATCAAGTATGCTTGAGTACGTACTTGACGGTGCGCGCTGATGCATAGACTCGCGATGAGAAAGCACAGACCCCTCGCCGACGCTGGAGATTTCCAGCCGCAATCTTCGACGTCGATTCAGACTCTACATCCTGCAGTGTGATACCCGGAGGTCCACAGGGACTGAGGCGTCGGTACGTCAGTAAATCCCGTGAATAATGACCCAACACCTCACCAACTTAGATTATGATGGCGATTTTTTTTTTACCTCACGCGACACTGATTTCATCCGTTTGACAGAGCTAGAGACTAGTCTGAGCGGTAGTGCGGGTTAGTACAGCACACTTCAGGTGCCGAAATGAGGCAAGTGAAAGTTAACAGGCACTCGAAAGACCGATTCATGCCCTCAATGATGGATTATCGATTATCGAGTATCATGCACAGTCTTGGCACTGCAATTTGTCACGGATGACTTATCGTGTTTGGCGGCTGTCAAGCTCAGCAGTAGAGTATGTATGGGCGTCATGTCTGCTGCGATGATAACCTGAGATCCGTTGTACTCGTTCAATGGAAAGTTGATAGAAAGTGCAAGAACGGGAACCAGCGGCGCCAGTGCCACTGAATGTGCGTGCAAGATGGGCGCCGCTAAAATTGACCTTCACCACCGAGGTTTCCAAAAGTAGGTAAGTTACTGTGCACATCTCGAGCTTTGGTGGAGCCGCAACTGTGTAGCCCGCATACCGATCTTCGGGATGTGTTAAGAAACAGAAACTTAGGGAGAGTAATAGTAGTCTAGTAGGGTGTACACCGTACGCGTTGACAACGACGTCCGCGGCATCACGGCTTCATGATCAAATGGCACATTCTCCGCGCTGTGTGGCAGCAAGAATTAAAGTGTTTCGAAGAAGCAGGGGAGACCTAGCTCAGAGGAACGTTCGGGCCAGATCCACCACAAAGTCGTTTCGGACATCCTGGTTTTCTTTACTTGAGCACATCTTCGTCATCTCCGATGGGGCAGTCAGCACTAAAAAGTTTCGTCTCAGATGCCGTACCCCGCTGCGTCCAACAACGCCTCTCATGCCTTCAGCGAGAAAGTCTGCTATGCTTCCAACTCGAATCTGATACATCGAAATATTTGTCTCTCTCAGGTATAACGAGCTGTACACGTGTAGGAAAAGCATCATCTCAAACTCACGGGAGTCTCGAGCGCTGAAAGCGCCTCAAATGAGATAAGACTATTCTGACGAGGCGTTGATTAATATTATCAGAGAAGTACTGGGTGGATTTGCGAGCAACCGACGTCTAAAACCGGGATCTCAAAGCTAAAGCTACATACGCTCGTTCCTGTAGATATAACATATACTGCAGACATTTCACTGAACTCCGCAACACCATCCATGTCGAAGCTTATGTCAGTGGTTCTGCACTTGTGTGGCGGCGGAGCCGCAGTGGAGGACGAAAGTGTCGACAAGTAGTGTGCAGTCTCACAGAGAGACGTTACCATGCGCATCGATCTATAGGGGAAGGTGTAGTACATACGGGTTCCTGGACAGGTGCTTGCTCAAACCGGGATTTCATTCGTTGAGTTCTCAGCGATTAAGTAACTTGGTAAGTGTCGATGCCTCCGTACTCGGCCTCGATTCAGGGCTCAAACTTGGACGAACGGACACTGAAAGGCTGAAGGTTTGTTGTAGATTCACTGCATTTAGGCTCTATCAATACAAAGCCGATCGAGGGTCTCTAAATGACATTCCAGGCGGGATAGCACCGTGCATCTCCGTGCATGCGACACCACAGACGCCGTTCATGTCCGAGAAGCTCTGTGGACAGAGATATACGGACGTCATCGGACCTGGAACGTTAGTTACGGATGTTTGTATTTGTAGGGGCTTAATGCAGTGATTAACTTCGGGTGAGAGAGAAAAGCGTTGTGGCGTCACCGTAAGTTGTGGCCATGAGTGCAGTAGAAATCCACGTCATGGAGAGGAAGGAGCCTTGGTGCCGTGATATTTTGAGGTAGTAGCAGAGTACATAAGCATTAACGTCAACGTTGTGTATCGAGATGCAGGTTGAGTGGCTGAGAGCCAAGTTTGCAGCTTGAAGTTTGGTGCAGATGTGGCGCGTGGAAGCCCATACTAGAAACTCAGTAGTTTCTCTGTGCAGACGTGGCGGTTGCTTGGGCCGCTGGGCAACGAACGAACAACGAACTTTGGTCGACACAAAAGCAGCAAGGTCGATCGGAGCATCGGAAGATAGCCGCAATTTATACTTACGATATATAATTATTATTAGCCACACATTCATCGGGTACCTGGCGCAATGGCTAGCGCATCTGGCTTCGATTGCTCGATGTTTCTGTCACCAGAAGGCTGTAGGTTCGAGTCCTGCGGTGCTCAAAAGGCTTTTTAGTCGTGTCATTAATAGCATTTTTAGTCTACGGAGGTCGTCGCCAAGGCTACCGGCCGTCCGCACGTGAGGGGGAGTTGAACAGAATTCATGCACCGCTCTGAGCATTGTCTCTTGTTAAATTGTTCCACAGTACGAGCAGCCCATTTTTAACGTCGCCACTGCTGCAAGCCGATGTTGTGCACGACGAAGTGGAAATTCGTCCATGTTGTCCCTCACCAGGCCAATATCTGCCAGTGAGTGATTGATCAGTAGGAGTCAGTGACCTCGGTCAGTAAAGCCAGTGATGGTTTTGATGGCATGTCCCTGAGGTCTGGCAGGACCTGGCGCATTTTCGCGCACGCTCGTCTGAGTCGCTGCCCCCAGCGCTGGAGTAGACGTAGATCGCAGAATCGTAGATGTCAGTTCAAGTGGTCTCGTTGTGCTGCGTATGAAAAAAAGTTCCACGTTTTCAGGCGTTATAGCACGCAGACAACGAAGCGCAGGTGAATTAATCGTTATGCCCTCTCGAGCTCATCGCAGCTACTAGTCCTGCTAGTCTAACTGCGGACGATTCCCCTGCAATAATAGTAGATACGCATGTACTGATAACGGGGCCGTTGAGGGCCCTTTAGCTCCCAGATATCAAGGCACAAAGGCAAGCAGGCTATACATACTGCAGCCGGGCTTGTGCGGCAATGGATACAAAAACGTCGGTGGACATGCGCAAATTCCGATCGTGAATTAGAGAAGGTGGCAATCCGGGAACTCCTTCTCGATTGCCTTCTCGGGCGCGTAGAAAGGCGTTACATACATCTTGTCCGTCTGGTCAGTAGTACCCGCACCGCCGGTGAGCTGTCCAATGATACGACCATCCCTGCCAGCAACAAGGCTACCAGAGTCACCGGCGTCAGAGAACCTAGCTTCCTTGTCTGTTACAGTGTCATAGCCGCATACTATGAATTCAAGAGCATCTTGCGCAATACCGTGGCCGGGGTAATGGCGAGTGATGGATTCCAGACCGTTGACACGTCCAAAGGTGGTGCCGGTGGTACGACCGTTCTTCACGGCCAGCAACGTCTTCGTGTTGTGGATGTCGCGGCCAGGGGGCTGCCGAAAATCTTCCTCGCTGACGTTGCCCTGGATAGGGAGAAGCATATCATGCGGCGTGGGAAGCTCGTGGTTGTGAACCGGTCGGGCCATGTGTTTATTCCAGTCGTTCAAGGGCTTGTTTCCACCTATCAGCCAGGGGTACACACATGAGTGAAAGTGGAAAGAAAGAAAGAAAGCCGCGAACCGATGTAAAGACTATTCCCGTTGAACTACTTCCTTTGGATCTTGTCATCGTCGATCTGAACGAGGCTCCAGTCACGCAGGAAATGGTCTTCCCCGACCTCGATCTTGGCACAGTGCAGAACAGATCCAACGACGCACGAGGCAGGCTCTGCAAATTCGTTCGTCGTATGAGCTTGAAGGAGCTTTGCCTCTTCAATATTCTGCCTCGTCACGTTGATCAAGTCGATGAGCTGATTGGTCCTCGACGGCTCTAGATCTGGGAAGGCTTTGAGTTGGCGTTCCCAGGTCGTGATCCTGGTCGTTTGGATGTCGATGAAATCCTGAATAGTCTTGACAGCGCCATGGTACGCCGAGAAGTATTATCTCTTCACGCTGCGGGCTGGCATGGTTGTACGCCTCTTTCTCTGTGAGGCTTGGGGGACGGGCGACATGGGCGCAGGTCAGGAGCGCAACGCGCTTATCGACCCCGTCCTTGTTGAGGCGGAAGAGTAGGCTACCGGAACCCTCATGGGCAGGCGACGTGAGGGGCGCGATCGAGGGAGAAGGGGTAAGGGCGAAGAGCTTGTGAAGAGCCGAGAGGTCTTCCACTCCAATAGGCTTGAAGTTCGAGCTTAGGCCCGGATCCGTGATGACGGTAAATGGACTCCAAGAAAGCTATTTGGATGTCGAGGAAGCCTGCACCCAACGGAAGATTGTTCAGACAATTCTGCACTCGCAAATAGAACGTCCGTGGAGGATCTCATGAACAGCGGCAGCAGCAGCAACGACAGCATCACTGTAAGCGAGCGAGCCCGGCAGAACGCCGATAGTAATGACGAACTCGCAGATCAGCGCCGTCTCGCCCGCATTCGCATAGGTGAGAGGGTCGACCGTGTTCCAATTGTTCTTGCGCTCATCGAGCAAGGCGACGATCGCCCACACAGTATCGAGCCAAATCGGGGCAATTGAGTCGTCGTAGATGAGGCGGGCGGCGCGGATACTCTGATACATCTCAGGGCCCAGTTCTGGGATGGGCCACGCAGGTCCGCTCTTGAAGACGCAGGGCGTACCGGAGCCGTAGAAGTCGGCGAAGGCGAGTGCGTAGGAATCAGTCAAGCGACCCATTTCCTGTTCAGCGATGAGCATGACGTTGTAGGATGTTGTGGAGTTTAGAGAGAGAAGTTTCTCGGTCGGAGAGATGATAGAGGAAGGCCCGTCCGCCGCTAAGTCGAGAGGTGAAGGGACCACGGTCTTGGCTACGCCGTGTACTTCCAATCGATTGATGGCTTTGGTGAGGGGAAAGGACACTGCGAGGGCTGTCCTTCAGTCAATTAGGTCGAATATGAGGTCTTGGAATGCAAATTTGGAGACGAGCAGCCTAGAGTGCGTCAGTGAGCCTCAGCCAAGGGTGTCTTCGTGACAGCAAAATGGAACGGAGAGAGGACAGCTACGGCTCGAATGTCGATCTGAGGCTGCTGAGCGACCTGTGAGACCTCCTGTCTCTGAATCCCTGCTCAGGGCCATTGGGTGCGATGTCGATGGTCGAGAATGCAAGATGTGTGAGTTGGACAGAACTGAGTTACAGTGCTGATCAGTACTGAGTACCGATCATTCGAGTCCTGCGTTGGTCTCCATTTGCGCTGCCTATACATTTGCCTCTGACCATGATTTGCACTGGGAAATACTGACAAGCAACCCGGCCCTCGCAGCAACTTCAAGGAAAGCATTGTATTCGTAATGTAACAAGGACGGAATCCAGTACAGCCAACCAGTAACAATAAAGAGAGGCGGCTGCTGATCAACATGGCCGAATAGATGGATATAAAACAGAACGAGGTCGAGGATATGGCACGTCGAGTGCCGACTCGTACAAAACGACAGTCAGGGAGGACAGGAGAGAACAAGACAGCAAGAGACAGAGAGGAAGATAAGAAAGAAGAACGGATATCCCATCGCTCGTGAGCTCATCATACGTCACAGCGACACCAGATCCAACAAACCAGCCGAGTATCAAAGGCAAACGGAGGAACGATAACCAGTCTGGGTCGACGCTTAATGGTCAAGCGCAGTCAACCTGCTCTTCGCAGTGTGCGCATGAGACTTGCGACCGCGCTTGACGAGCTCCAGCTCCTCCTGCCACGCATCGAGGGAGCGCTTCTTCTTGCACGTCTTTCCGGGGGTGGTGCCTCCACCACCGGTGCTAGGGGTCTCCCCTCCACCACCTCCTCCACCTGAAGAGGAACCACCGTCCCAGACAGCTGGGCCAGGGACCTTGAAGTTCTGGAAGTTGGAGACGTTGTCGGAATAGACGTTGTACTTCGCGAAATCGCCGGTGGGGGAGTAGAGCCTGAGGCGATAAGGTTAGAGTTGGGGTAAGGGAGAGAAAGGGAGAGGACTTACTGGCCGGCCTGGGTGCCTCCGGGGAGCGAGGCGCTGCCGCCGTTGACGACTTCGACTTGGACGCAAGCGACGTCTGTGAATGGGCGATTAGGATGAAAAAGGGGAGGACAGAGGAAGAGGGTGCTTACACATTTGGGCACCGCTCCTGGGGTCAGAGCCAAGGACGCTGTGGACGGCAGCGATCTGGGGATGGAAAGTGAGCTCCCGGGCTTCTACGTAATCAAAGCACGCGTACCTCATTTCGCACGATGTAGTGTCCGTTCTTCAAGTTCTTAGGGATCTTCACGTCCCATCGCGAACCCTGCTGGACTAGAAACCTATCAAAACCTGCCTAAACACACACGTGGATAAATAGCTCACCAAGCTTCGCAATAGCCCACAGACCGTTTCCATTCCTAGGCCAGTAATTCTCCGGCTTTGACGCCATAGCACTTGACAGCCCACTCATGATATGCTGGTTCATATCGATGCCAGCATTAGCGACCTTGGTCCACCCCGCGTTCGCAGCGTTAAAGTTCTTGCAGTCGCCGTTGCAGTCGGTCATGTAGTCCATGATCGGGCCCATGGCATGTACCCAGGGGTTGTAGGACGTGGCGATTCCGATGCCGCCCTTGTGGAGGAGCTCGCCGGTTGCGCCTTGCCAATAAATTTGGAGGGTGGATCCAGCGTCGATCTTGACGGTCTTGGGGGCACCGCCGGCGGTCTCGCAGGCCATCTTGCTGTTGGGGAGGGTATCAGCATGGATGAATGTAGATAGATGATCACCGGAAGACGGAAGGAACGTACTTGTTGTCCCTGAAGTCAGCGGGGACGTTGTACGCGGGCCAAGAAGCCTGGTACTGAATGCGCGTAGCGGTGTTCTTGTTCTTCGCGTCACCATCGTAATAGATCTAGAGCACGTCCGGCGTCAACGGAAATTGCAGCCAAGCTTGATAGCAGCAACCAATACATACATTCCCAGCCTCGTTCTTCACGCCGTTTGCTACGACGTACTTCACCTGCCCGTGCGCCAGCGCCAGAGGCGCAGAGATCGCAGAAAGCAGAGCGAGAAGGTGGACTTTGGTTGTGGGTGCCATATCGGATTGTGGTTGGATAATGTGTTGTGTGTGTTAGTTGGTATTCGGAGATATCAGGCCGTGGTGTATATAACCAGAACCAAGGAATGTGTTGGCGAGAGAGCGTGGGTATTTGGTACACAGACACAGAGGGTGAGGGAGAGAGAGAGAGAGGGGGGAGGAGGGAAATGGAGGATACCAAGGGAAGAAGAAGAAAGTGTTCAGGAGGTGCACAGGCTGTCAACCTTATAAACTTATTTGACCGGAGGCACCACACAGGC